GAGAGAAGGAAGGGAGGGAGGAAGAGAAGAAAGAGAGAAAGAAAGTAGCGAAAAGGAGAGAGAAGGAAGGGAGGGAGGAAGAGAAGAAAGAGAGAAAGAAAGAAAGAAAAGAAAAGGAGAGAGAGAAAGAAAGAAAGAGAAGGAGAGAAGAGAGAGAAAGAAAGAGAAAGAAAGAAAGGAAGGAAGGAAGGAAGGTTCACTCACTGCAAAACTCTCTAACATTGGGTTGGAAAGCTGGAACTGAGAAAGAACTCAATCCTTGTGATTGTGCAATGGTTGTGTTTTCTTCAGTTTTCACCCTGTTGATTTGCTTCCACCTCACATATCTGACCTTGGTTGTGTTTAGTTAGCCAAGTCACACCGACCACGGGCCCTAAAATTTCATCGATCCTTTTTCCTGCAGAGCAGGGATTTCTATCTCTTCGGCACCACCACGCGCGTGTCCTTGGCACCCTTGAAGCCAGAAACCAACATCCCCAGCTGGGGCCACCCGTTGCTTAACCACTGTTTGTGGAATCGGGGAGATGGGTCCCCCACACTAAGCCAGCAAACATAGTTTATCAGACAATTTGCAAATCAACCACTTTGTGGCTTTGGGCAATGAGTGGATCCCAAGCCCCTTTGCGGTGGCCAACATCTGGGGGGGTCGTCTGCCCCCTCGTGGGCACATTTTGCCACAGGAGCTCAAAGCTTTTGCAATGCAATGCAGTTGGATTGAATGTAAAATTGCCTCTTTAAAAGCAGAGGGGCAGGAGAAGTGGGCCGTTGCAGCATGTTGGGACCCACCTGTGGGAGTGGGTGGGGCCACGGAGATGCTCAAGTGGTTCTTAGCGTGGCCAAAGGCAGCCGTGGGTCTCTCTGGGTGGCTGTTGGACATAAATGGTGTTTTCCCGTTTGGACCCTGCAAAAATCACTCATTCAGGTAAGTGAAGGCCCCGCTCACCTGCCAGTGGAATTGGCTGCACCACAAGGTTTAAACGCCACACCCAGCCAAAGGTGTGGGGCAAACTGAGTTCGCCGTCCTGAGCTTTTTTTCCCTTACAAAAATGATGCGTGGGGGTGCCAAGCCTGACAGATCAACCGGTGTAGAGCGTCAGCCTACCTGCTTGCTGGCTGCGGGGGAGGGAGGGGATTTCCTGCTTTCCAAACAGGGAAGAAAACAAGCTGGGAGAAAAACAGTCAAAGCAAATAAATCTGAACAAAAGATTCTGCAAAAGAGGCAGGGTTGCAGTGGGGTGGGGGAGGAAAAGGGGGCAGTGAGAGCCAATGTTTGCTCAGAGAAGCAGACCTAGCTAACGAGTTGCTAAATGGCTGCAGCTTTTCTTTCTTTCCTTCGTTCTCTTTCCTTCCTTCCTTCCCCAACTTTTCTTTCTTTGTTTCTTCCCTTCTTTCTTCCCTTCCCACTTCCCTTTCTTTCTTTTCTTCCTTCCTCTCTCCCCAACTTTCCTTCCTTCCTTCCTTCCTTCCTTTCTTTCTCAAGCAAGCTTTGGATTTGGGGGGGTGCTAAGTGGGATGTTTTGAGTCCTTCAGAGCACAGCAAAGCTTTTTACAGTCCCCCGATTTAAGGATGGGTTCCTGGTGGGCCTTCCGCTACAGGTCTCACTGTGGTTGGCTTGGCCTTCAGCACGTGATCTAGCCATTGTGGTTTCTTGAATAAACCTGGTGAAACCCTGGCTTACTGCAAGGGGGAAGCTGGGAGTGAAAACACAGGCTGCTTCCTTTTGCCGGTGCTCAAACCAGGCGCAGAGTGAGTTGCTATGCTGCCTATGGCCGAAACTGGGGTGGGACTGTTGATGGTTTGGACGCTAGTCACCTGTGTGAATTCAGGACACCCTGGTGGTTAAGCAGCCCCATGGGTTAGGTAGTTATGGGAATACTGTTACTGCTTTGAATTATTTTCCTTGCTTAGAGGAGTGTGGGGGGAAGTGCTATCTGGAGCTGATGGATGGCTAAACAAAAATAATAAATTAAATCAGTGTTTCTCAACCTTGGCCGCTTGAAGAGGTGTGGCCTTCAACTCCTTGCTGGCTGGGGAATTCTGGGAGTTGAAGGCCACACCTCCTCAAGCAGCCAAGGTTGAGAAACACTGAATTAAATAAAAAAAATTTGGAGTCACTGGAACTGCAGATGGAACTGAGTAGGATCATTCAGAAGAACATCCGTTCCCATCACTTAAAGGGATGGGCCCTTCCAGCTAAGATTCTGGAAGCAGGGCTCCTGAGCATACGGGGTTTGCAGTTTCCTGGAGGCACCATCCGTCCCCTTTCAGGGGAGGGTATCTGGAGGGGCTTAGCCAGGCTGATCTTGCACAGAATTGGGGAAACCCAGCTAGGACTGGCTTTCTCATTGTTGGGCAGCAGCCCTGGGTGGAAAGTGAGGGATATCTTCAATTTTGGGTGGGGAGGAAACAAAACCCCAAACCTTCAACAGCCAGGATGCTGGAGAGGCTGGGGTGGAAAACCTGTCAGCAAAGCGATCCATGCCAGCCATTGAGTGCCAAGAGTGGGGGGGGGGGGGCTCATCGCCCTTCTTGATCTCAACCCGCTGCCTTTGGGGTCTTTTTGGCAGAGGGCTAAACAGCAGACCCTCCTGATTTGGGGATGGGGGCCAGAGCCAGCTAACAAACCTTGCCCGGAATCTTTCCTTCCCATCTCGGCTCTTCCTCCAGACTTGAAGGGGGGTGAGAACTGGCCCCCCACTTTTTTCAGCGCAGCGGCTGGTTGGAGGGGGAGAGGAAGGGCTAGCTCAGACCCACCCCCCTCCTCGAAAGCAGGAGGAAGTCCTGCGGCCGGGAAACGCGCGCCTTCTCCGGAGTCCCCGCCGGTTTGCAGTTCGGACGCTTTGCTCCC